TCCAAACATCAGTAGGACACCCCCTCTCATCTCCCAGCTGCTGCCCATGAGTGTCGCCTGCCTCTCTCACGACCCACGGGAGCACCTCCCTCAGGGAAGGCAGCACGGCTGCCGGCTGCTCCAGGATCACATCCCAACAGCCCTGCGACCAGAGCTCCATTTCCCAGCTAGAGATTAAAAATCTCAGTGAAGAACTCCTATTGGCCCAGCTCACGCCCTGGCCTCTGAGTGTGGCTCTGCGATTGGCTGCCCAGCTTGGATCACATGCCACCCACCCATGTGACCAGTGAGAGGGGTTAGAAAAGACGGATGGCAGGCAGAGATGGCAACTCAGATATGGATTCTGAAGGAATCTCTGAAGCCAGTGGTCACCCCAATTTACGTCCTCTCTAACTGGTGACCCCAACCTTGGCTTCCTCCTTGTCAGTCTACCTCTACTAATAAAAAGACACCTAATGGGCTGTTAGTTTCATGTTCCTGTCTCCTTCTTCAGAGGGGTTCAGGCAGTCTTCTATGCAGATGGAGGAGTGGGTCTCTCCTCCTCTGTAAGCCACTTCATGCTCGGAGGTACCTCAGCTTCCTTGTCTGTAAAATGGGGGTGATTGGGTCTGCCTGACTCCCCTTGCAGAGCTGTGTGAGGACCCACAGCGCTAGTGGATGCGAAGATCGCTCTGGAAAGAACAAAGGGCCATATTTACAAACACAGGATGTACTTATTGATTTATTATGCTCCCGTGTGTTCCAAAAAAAGGATTTGAGGTCGTTCACCAAAATGCACACAATACAGTGAGATAAAAATAAAGCGATAGAGCAAAGGGAAAACAAGGGTAGAAAAACAAAATAAAGCCAGGGACAATGCTAGCACATGGAAGCCTACGCCCAAAATTCCAGAAGTTCCGATCTGAGCTTCCTCATGAATAAAGAAGTGGGAGGCGTGATCAGTTACAAAAGGCACTGTAGCCATAAGGTAAAAACGTACCAGCAGAGCTTGTCTAGTTGAGTAAATGTTTAATAAAACTAATGTTTAATAAAAATCTCTTCTCATCAAAGAAGACAGTATGGATACCAAGATATTATGAATATTCCTATTCAACACTCTTTAGAATCCTGTCCTTTTGTTTTCATGATGTCATCTGACATGTACTCCAGGGTCGCATGTGGTTTCATCATCTATTTATGATTTGATTTAATTTAGCTAAAAACTGGATACCAATTAAGTGTCAAGCAAGAACATCCCTGTCATCTCTTCTGCTTTCTTTTCTTTTCATGGAAACAGGAGCTGGAGTTCCAGGAGTGGCACCCGAGTTCCCCACTGAGGCATGGGACAAAAAGCTCCAGCACCTTGGCGACGCTGAAACATAAAAATCACCGAGACATAAAACTGATCCAAGCCAGCCGTGAAGACACTGCCTTTGCCTCAGAACTTGCACTATAATCTGCTGCCCTGGAACAAAATTCAGACATAAATCAGCCTCCACTATATTTTAACCACCTACGAAGTTCTTCACTTCTTGCACGAAATGCTTCTGGCAGTGAATGATCCCACTCTCCCCCACTCCTGCTCTGAGAAGGAGCCCTCAGGGTGGCCGTGGGGGTCAAGGTCTGGATCCCACCGGTCAGGCAGGCCCAGGATGGCCAAGGGATGGAATAACTGACCCAAGGGTCTTCATGACGGGTACGCCAGGGCTGCGGCTAGCCTGCACGGTGCTGTAGTTGAAAAGGGAGACTCCTGTAGGCATGGGAAACCCTCTGGGTTCCCACCTGGGATGCTCTCCCCCCCCCCGTCTGCACCTGATCCAATCTCGATTATCCTTCAGGCCTCAACAAAACCCGCAGCATTCTCTTTTTCCTGAGCTCCTAATTCATCCACAGTAAGTACAGACAGCTGGCATTTAATTATATGATGTCTGGTATTCACTATTTCATGTTGTCAGTCTGTCTCTCTAACTAGATTGAAGATATCTTGAGAGTAATGATTGTTCTTATTTTATATGTTTACCTTATAGCCAACAAGGGTGCTTTATGTCTGGGCACTTCAAAAATAACAAAGTCATCAAAAACAGAATTTGAGGGTGTCGAAGCCGACGAGTTCTGCCCCCATGCGTCCATTTCACAGACAAGGAAATGGAGAGCCAAAGAGACTTGACCTGCCCAAGGTCATACAGTGAGAACCTGGCCCACCCAGGAATAAACCCAGTTCTGTCTGCTAATGTAGTGTTGGCTCTACTTCCCATAAACACTTCACCCTAAAACTCCTAAATAGAAAGTTCAGAACCACAGCTCACTAAAGAACAAAGACAGACAGACAAACAGACAGCTGGGCCACAGTAATCCATCTGTGCGTGGGCAGAATTTCCAGCACAAAGCCAGGCCGAGCTGCAGCAGGCTCAGCAAACAGTCCCCGTGGAAATCAAAGCGGTCACTGTATGTACTGGGATGAAAGGACCTCTGCAGGTTACCTGGGCTTTCAGCTTCCCCCGGCACCACAGGGGTCAGCACCGTCCGCCACGTCTGGGCACAGGAAACCCATGATTGATGGTCTCAGCAGGAGGGACCAGTAGAGGTGGAAAGGGCATCTCCTTTCTAGGGAGAGACACTGTGTATGTTGGGGGCTGCCTTTTGCCGTGAACTAAGAGCCCTTGATAGCAGGAAACAACCCAAGCATTTGTCCCTAACTCCTAACAACAGCTACTGTACCGTAGTGTCAAAGCCGATAGAAACCAATATCAAAACAATAATCAAAATAAGAATGACGACAATTGCCAAGCGAAACCCTATCATGAAAAACTGGCAACGGGCCCATCAGTCCTGCTGAATCTCCCCTGGTGACTCACAAGCCACAGCACTGGCCGTTTAGTGGTTCTCACAGCAGCCCACAAGCCTGGCCCCTCAGCTTTGCTCTACAGACCTGGGAGCTGAGGCTCAGCCAACTTAAGCACCTGGCCCCCAATCCACCACTGCAAGTGGTAGAGCTGGGGTTGGAATCCAGGTCAGACTCATTCCACAGCCCCCCCCCCGCCCCCCCCCCTTTCACACAACCCACTAGGGCTCTCATTCCAGTCCCATTTCAAGTATTGGTCCCATTATGAGAACCAGGGAACGAGTCTGATTTGGAAAACTGAGGCTCTTGAGGGAGAAGGATGACAGCTCACCCGCTATTTCACGGGGAACGGGGGAGAAAGACAAAGCACTGACAGGAAGCTCACCACACCGCCGTGGCTTTTTTGTGGTGCCAAACACATGCGGAAGGAACCACTTCTAAAAGAACACAGTGTTTTCCCTCCTCTTCTCGCCTCCCCTGGGCCCGAGCCTGTGATAATTGGGAAGCACAGAGTCTGGTTTTTCTGGGGTTGGAACCAATGCTGTGAAGAGTGTTCCGACAATAAATGCTGTTGATTGACAGTTGATAGACAACGATCTTGAGGAAGTTTCTCCTGTGCTGGATGTTAAGCTAAGCTCTGCACTAAACAACTGCTCAGCAGCCTGCTGACTGTTCAGAGAGAATTTACTATGATTTTCCTCTGTGGGCCTCAGGCAGGCGGCCAGCGGAGATGAGATCTCAGGTCGCCTCCAGCACCATCACTCAACAACTATATCATGAGAACGCAGAACTGGACGCATTCACACACCGAACCCACAGGCTCACCCAGAAAGATAACTGGTCAGAAAATAAGGAGCTTCGATTCCGGCCTCATATTCTTTGACCCAATAATTCCACTTCTACACATTTATCTTAAAAATTTCAGAAAGACAGAGCTATGTGTGCAAAGATGCTTCCTTAGCATTATTGGGAGGTGATGTCCAACGCAAGAATGGCGGCATTCTCTTGGTGGCATTTGCCACCCTCACAAATAGTGATTTCGAGGACAGAGGGAAATGACAGTGTTTTACAAACTGCAGCTCAATATCCATTAATGGGTCATGAAATAAACTTAATAGGTCTCCTGCCACCAACTTTAAAAAAAATATATATATATATATATATATATATATATATATATATATATATATATATATAAAATAGGCTAGAATAGAACATGTGAGCGTGCATTGCGGGTGGTAAAGGTGTTTGTTTATTGCAGCGGTTCTCAACCTGTGGGTTGCGACCCCTTTGGGGGTTGAAGGACCCTTTCACAGGGGTCGCCTAAGACCATCGGAAAACACATATATAATTACATATTGTTTTTGTGATTCATCACTATGCTTTAATTATGTTCAATTTGTAACAATGAAATTGGGGGTCACCACAACATGAGGAACTGTATTAAAGGGTCGGCATTAGGAAGGTTGAGAACCACTGGCTTATCGGGAACGTTGGTGGCAGTTTCAGGGGTAGCTGGGCCGAGGGACAGAAGCGCATTTGTACCAGGGGGCAGTCAGAACATTGCAAAGCGCTGGGTCTGCAGTGTCTGTGCAAGAAGGTGACAACAGAATAGAACACCCGGCCGACAGGAAGCCTGGGGGGATGCACAGAAACGTGGTGTTAGGAGGGGCAGGACGAAGATTTTCCGTGATGTGTGTGAGCAAAATAACACCAGACAAAAAGGAGGAATAACAACAGGAGGTCGTGATCAGATCCCAAGAGCCAAGGAACTCAAGAGAGGGCTTCTGGAGCAGCGGTGCCTCAGGATGGGCTGTGAAGGTTGCACAGGATTTAAATGGGGGGTGGGGGGGGGTGCAGGCTGGCCTCAAAGTGTGCAGGGTGGTCACTAAGGGGATGACGAGCAGGAAGAAGAGGTGGGAAAAGCCTCTCGGTGCCCTAAAGGGGCTTTGAATGTGGAAGGCCAGGGGCAGCTCTGCCTGCGGCAATTGCCCCCACGCCATCTACCCGCCCCCCGGCCCCAGGCTAAGGCCAAACTAGAGGTTGCCCCGCACAAACATGGCGGCGGCGCGCTGGCCACGCCCCTCAACAAGATGGCTCCCGCCCGGAGCCCCACCTCCCGCCGCCTTGGTGGCCAATGAGGGGGGAGCACGAGTGCTTGCGCATGCGTGGTGCTGCGACTGGGCGCGTCCAATGACTGGGGGATCCCGGCGAGCAACATGACTAAAAAGAAGCGGGAGAACCTGGGTGTCGCTCTGGAGGTGAGGGGAGGACGCTGGTTGAAGCGGGGTGGGCCACGTCCTTCGTTGTCTCTCCCCGCGGCGGGTGGTGGGTCGGCCCGGTGCAGGTTGGAGGAGGGGCTTAGGGAGGCGTGAGGGTAAGGGCGCCGCGAGCTTGGGAGACGCAAGGGTCTTGGGAGGCCCCTGTGGGTACCGGGCGCTGAGGGGCCTGAGGAAGGAACCGGGTGCTGGAGAGCCGGGTAGGGGGTGGGGGGCAGCAGAGATGGGAGCCGGGGGAGGGGATTCCGGAGGGAAGAGACGCGGAGGGAACCGGGGCCCCGAAGGGGGCGGGACAGGGAATGAGGTCCTGCAGGGAGACCTTCATTGAGGACCCAGAGGGGCGGGCACAGAGGGGGCGCACAGAGGGGTCGACGCCTGCAGGTGAGGAACCCCTGCAGGTTAGGGAGCCCACACGGTCTCGTGTGTCAGGAGTGGCTTAACTTTGCTGCGATGGGACATTTTCCCTCTGGGGCCTGAAGCCTGTAATGAAACTTGCCTTGGAAACCTGCGGGAACTTGTAGAGGATCGTGGAGTGGCAGTGTCCCCAAATGGCTTACAAATAACTTGCTGCGCCCTGGCGGGTCGTTCAGTTGCCGGGAGAGCCCTCTCCTACAACAGAAGGTGTGGGTTCTGTCAGGGCGTGTCATGGGAGGCGCTCTCTCTTTCTCTCTCTCTCTGTCTCTCTCTCTCTCATTCTCAAATAAGTTTTTAAAATCCTCAGGTGAGGATTTAAAAAATAAAAATAGATGCATATGGATATAGCAGCAGCTTCGTTTGCATCCTCAGTTCATCCTCAGGACAAGCCTGTGAGATTTTTAAAGACGAGGAAACTGAGGGTTTGAGGAGAGCCTAGTTGAAGCGTTGGAGGAGCTGAGAATCAGGTGATTTCTCTTCTAGTGCATCTTGTTGCTGATGCGTTACAGTCCCTAAGGTCACCTCCCAGAGGCTACAGTCCCTCAGGTCACCTCCCAGAGGCTACAGTCCCTCAGGTCACCTCCCAGAGGCTACAGTCCCGCAGGTCACCTCCCACAGGCTACAGTCCCACAGGTCACCTCCCAGAGGCTACAGTCCCTCAGGTCACCTCCCAGAGGCTACAGTCCCTCAGGTCACCTCCCAGAGGCTACAGTCCCGCAGGTCACCTCCCAGCGGTTACAGTCCCTCAGGTCACCTCCCAGCGGTTACAGTCCCCTCAGGTCACCTCCCAGAGGCTACAGTCCCTCAGGTCACCTCCCACAGGCTACAGTCCCTCAGGTCACCTCCCAGAGGCTACAGTCCCTCAGGTCACCTCCCAGAGGCTACAGTCCCTCAGGTCACCTCCCAGAGGCTACAGTCCCGCAGGTCACCTCCCAGAGGCTACAGTCCCGCAGGTCACCTCCCAGCGGTTACAGTCCCTCAGGTCACCTCCCAGCGGTTACAGTCCCCTCAGGTCACCTCCCAGAGGCTACAGTCCCGCAGGTCACCTCCCAGAGGCTACAGTCCCGCAGGTCACCTCCCAGAGGCTACAGTCCCGCAGGTCACCTCCCACAGGCTACAGTCCCTCAGGTCACCTCCCAGAGGCTACAGTCCCGCAGGTCACCTCCCACAGGCTACAGTCCCTCAGGTCACCTCCCAGCGGTTACAGTCCCCTCAGGTCACCTCCCACAGGCTACAGTCCCTCAGGTCACCTCCCAGTGGTTACAGTCCCTCAGGTCACCTCCCAGCGGTTACAGTCCCTCAGGTCACCTCCCAGCGGTTACAGTCCCTCAGGTCACCTCCCACAGGCTACAGTCCCTCAGGTCACCTCCCACAGGCTACAGTCCCGCAGGTCACCTCCCACAGGCTACAGTCCCTCAGGTCACCTCCCAGAGGTTACAGTCCCTCAGGTCACCTCCCAGCGGTTACAGTCCCCTCAGGTCACCTCCCACAGGCTACAGTCCCTCAGGTCACCTCCCAGTGGTTACAGTCCCTCAGGTCACCTCCCAGAGGTTACAGTCCCTCAGGTCACCTCCCAGCGGTTACAGTCCCTCAGGTCACCTCCCACAGGCTACAGTCCCTCAGGTCACCTCCCAGAGGCTACAGTCCCGCAGGTCACCTCCCACAGGCTACAGTCCCTCAGGTCACCTCCCAGTGGTTACAGTCCCTCAGGTCACCTCCCAGCGGTTACAGTCCCTCAGGTCACCTCCCAGCGGTTACAGTCCCTCAGGTCACCTCCCAGAGGCTACAGTCCCCTCTGGTCACCTCCCACAGGTTACAGTCCCTCAGGTCACCTCCCAGAGGCTAGAGTCCCTCAGGTCACCTCCCAGCGGTTCCATCCTTGATTGGGCACCTTGGGAAGCAACCAGTCGATGTTCCTGTCTCACAGCTTTCTCTCTCTCTCTCTCTCTCTCTCTCTCTCTCTCTCTCTCTCTCTCTCTTTCTCTTTCTCTTCTCTTCTCTTCTTTCTCTCTCTCTCTCTCTCTCTCTCTCTCTCTCTCTCTCTCTCTCTCTCTCTCTCTCTCTCTCGTCTCTCAGAATCAATTAAGAAAACATGTTCTCCAGTTAGGATTAAAAAACAGAGAGGGTAATAGTGTTCTTGAGCTTCCTATCAGTTCAGTGCTTCTCACAGTTAAGGCTGCATTAAGAATCATTTGTAGAGCTTTTTACGATGGAGGGTTGAATTCTCCCCTGCCTGGAGTAATTCAGTAGGACGTGTGTGTATGTGTGTATGTGTGTGTGTTTTGGGGGGTTGGGGAGTGGTATTTTTAACAAACAATTTGATTTTTTCTATTGATTGAGAGAGAGAGAAACATTGATTTGTTGTTCCACTTATTTATACAATCATTGGTCGATTGTTGTGTGTACCCGGACTGGGGGAACACACAACCTTGGAATATTGGGACGATGCTCTAACTAAATGAGCTACCCAGCCAGGGCCAAGTCAGATGCTTTCAACAAGCTACACGCACCATGCTGAAGCAGGAGGTTTTAGTACCACCTCTTGAGAAACATCAGCCTACTTGGTAGGAAAAAAAAGGTTGATGGAAATAGGTATCTCCTTCTGAAAGAGAGTAATAGATGGTCAAATGAGAAGGCACTGTGTAGTGGGACGAGAATAGACTTTATAGTCTGTGTTAGGACATGGTAAGCTGCTATAACAGGAACCCCCAAAATCAGTGGTTTTAAGAACAAGAAAAGTTTTTTTTCTAACATGCTAGAGCAGGGATGGGCAGACATTGTTTCTAAGGTTCAGATAGTAAATATTTTAGGCTTTGTGGGCCATATGGTCTCTGTTGCAACTACAGTTGATCCTCATTATTCATGGAGTCTGTATTTGTGAATTTGCCTACTTGTTAAAAAGTATTTGTAACCCCCAAATCAATACTTAGAGTGCTTTTGCAGTAAGTCACAGACAAACAAAGCAGTAAAAAAAGTTGAGCACTGGCTGGTGGTGTTCAGTGGTTACAGCATCCATCCATGCACCAAAGGGTCACGGGTTCATTTTCTGGTCAAGGGCATACACCAGCCCCAGTCAGGTCACGTGCTGAAAGCAACCAATCAATGTGTCTCTCACATCGATGTTTCTCTTCCTCCCTTCCACTCTCCCATGCTGTTCCTCCCACTCTCTCTAAAAACAGTGGAAAAAGTATCCTCAGGTGAGGATTAACAATAAAAAATTGTGGTCACTGGAGGCCTACAGATCCCACTAAGTTTGAACAAAGTAGTATTCTGCCTTCTTATTTTTAGTTATTTTTTTTTTTAATTAAATCTTTATTGTTCAGATTATTACATTTGTTCCTCTTTTTTTCCCCCCATAACTCCCCTCTTCCCAGTTCCCGCCCCACCCTCCGCCCTCACTCCCCACCCACTGTCCTCATCCATAGGTGCACGATTTTTGTCCAGTCTCTTCCCGCATCTCCCACACCCCTTTCCCCCCCAGGAATAGTCAGTCCATTCCCTTTCTATGTCCCTGATTCTATTATAATCAACAGTTCATTCTGTTCATCAGATTATTTATTCACTTGATTCTTAGATTCACTTGTTGATAGATGCATGTTTGTTGTTCATAATTTGTATCTTTACCTTTTTCTTCCTCTTCCTCTTCTTAAAGGATACCTTTCAGCATTTCATATAATCCTGGTTTGGTGGTGATGAACTCCTTTAGCTTTTCCTTATCTGTGAAGCTCTTTATCTGACCTTCAATTCTGAATGATAGCTTTGCTGGATAAAGTAATCTTGGTTGTAGGTTCTTGGTATTCATCACTTTGAATATTTCTTGCCACTCCCTTCTGGCCTGCAAAGTTTCTGTTGAGAAATCAGCTGACAGTCGTATGGGTATTCCCTTGTAGGTAACTGAGTTTCTTTCTCTTGCTGTTTTTAAGATTCTCTCTTTATCTTTTGCTCTTGGCATTTTAATTATGATGTGTCTTGGTGTGGTCCTCTTTGGATTCCTTTTGTTTGAGGTTCTCCACGCTTCTTGGACCTGTAAGTCCATTTCTTTCACCAGGTGGGGGAAGTTTTCTGTCATTATTTCTTCAAATAGGTTTTCAATATCTTGCTCTCTCTCATCTTCTGGCACCCCTATAATTCTGATGTTGGTACGCTTGAAGCTGTCCCAGAGGCTCCTTACACTATCCTCGCATTTTTGGATTCTTTTTTCATTTTGCTTTTCCGGTTGGGTGTTTTTTGCTTCCTCGCATTTCAAATCATTGACTTGATTCTTGCGCTCCTCTGGTCTGCTGTCGGGAGTCTGTATAATATTCGTTATTTCAGTCCGTGTATGCTTAATTTCTAGTTGGTTCCCCAATATAAGATCGAGGGTCTCATTAGTTTTCTTGTAGATCTCATTAAGTTTATCGGCGGCTTCTAAACAGTTCTTGAGAGACCTTAAAAGTGTGGTTCTGAACTCTATATCTTCCATTGACAATTTTGTCCTGTTTCTTTGTCTCCGCATTTTGTTATGCTTCCTTGGTGCACCCCCTAGTGGTCTTTGTTCGCAGTCTTATAGTTAAATCTTGATTGTTGTA